ACGGTTCACACTTTACAATTCGAACACGTTCTGATTCCCAGTTTGCTGATCAGTTGATAACAATAGACAGGATGTCTGCATCTTCAGTATGTTTTCCGTACGTCTGTTTTGAGTAAAATAAATCAAAAGGCCTATTTTAGAGCGAAACACACATACACTTCACTAGTTTGAAAAAAACAAAAAAATTTTCACACACAGAACTACTGGTAACTAAAAATATATAACATGTAGGTGTCAAATTCTATCTTCACTGTGAATTACAGGTTTGAATATAAGCGTCCATGAACCTGGGTCTCATCCTTAACTTCAACTCTATTTTGGGTTAAATTCAACAAAATAGAAATAACACCTTATAAAACGTAAATGTATCTAATTACATACAGACCTCAACTTTATTTATAACTGTTTGCTTAATTTAGGATTAAGAAAAGTGGCAGGGTCAAGATAAGTGGCTGATTCTAAGCTGGATAGATGTAGCATGTTTGACTGGGCTTTGCTTACTATCTTGCATAGAATCAATGACTCATCCAGTATTGCACTGTGAGGCAGTCATTATATGTTATAATATTAATTGTATTGCATTCTTCATATTTGTTTTTACTTGGCAAAATGGAGTATTGTGTTCTGAAACCAGTATACATGTATGATAAAAACTTCCCCTTTAGTTTTGTGCACAGCGATACACATGCCAGCTGACTGTGGTTATACCCAAGATAGCATCATACACAACCATAGGAGTTGTGTACCTGTATCTTGCATATAAACCAACAAAAAAATAAGCAGAAACATTACAGATATACACATAGGCAGGTTCACTGAGAAAACCCAAAAAAGGGGAAAAAAAAACTTGCATTCCCAGTGTTTCAAATAAAACAGATAAACCAACTTGCTATAATTCTTCTGTATGTCTATATTGTGTACTGTGTATATTATTATTTGTGTATTTTGTTGTTTGAATTTATATTTCAGGTGTTGGTGTTTTGGAAGGGCCTATGTATGCAGTAGGGGGTCATGACGGATGGAGTTACTTAGCAACGGTGGAAAGATGGGATCCTCAGAGCAGACAGTGGAGTTTTGTATCACCGATGTCTATGCCAAGGAGTACTGTTGGAGTGACTGTTATGAATGGAAAGTAAGTCAATGGCTGCAGACTAAAATGAAAATGGTGCAGTGTAGCATGTATCATGATGCTCGGAATCAGCAGGTTGCATCAAATAACATGAGTCATCTGTTGAAGTAAAACACTTTGGGAAAGTCCCAGAGTCATTGAAAGTAATCAACATTCACGAATAACGATTTGAAGATTACCGGTACAAGGTTTTACTTCAACTAGCTGTGTATACGATTGTACACTGCGAGTGATTCAGATCACGCGCATATATTAATTTAGTGCATATTTTTGTTACAGGCTATATGCTGTGGGTGGCAGAGATGGTAGTTCATGTCTGCGTTCTGTCGAAAGTTATGATCCACATACTAATAAATGGAGCACATGTGCACCTATGTCTAAAAGAAGAGGTGGAGTAGGTGTAACTGTTTGTAATGGTTGTTTGTATGCGATAGGTGGACATGATGCTCCAGCAAGTCAACAAACATCAAGGCAGTTTGACTGTGTAGAGAGGTACGTAGTCTCTTGTGCAGATATACACCTATTGGAATATGCTTGGATTAATTACAGTCAATTCAGTTTGACATTAACATCATGTAGTGTGATTACTGATGTGGATAATGTTTGTGTTTATACCGGTAGTTTGATTCAGGTACCCCTCACATAGATCGCACATACCTCTTTGATTCAAAAAATGGCGTACTGGCAGCCA